GTAATGTACATATGAGTAATTCGTTAAGGTTAGAAGGTCTGAGGCATAGGTCGTTTCTTCCACTCTGATGTTCATTTCTTACTTGGTCAAATGCTTCATTTTATCTGAAATTCCATCTCATAAATCATAACTACTGAAAATATTGCGTATTTCATCGATACAATTGAAAAGAGTGGAAAATATAATGTTATTGCAAATATTGCGTAGCTGGTTGGTGTACTGAAAAGGGAAACAAATGTTATTCTTATATTAACTACTGCCTGATATAGACATCATTTGCATAGTAATCATATTATAATTATTTGGTAGAGGTAATATTTGCATAAGCTTTTGGCGTAATGTTCTATTTAGAGCATAGCATATTTACATATAAATAGCATTAGATTTTACGAATTACCGGCATTTACCACGAGCGTACAGGCAGTTTTCGAAAAAATATGGATTTTTCGTAAGAAAAAAACTTTGTGATTAATTTGTGAATAATAAGTAAGACATTATATACTATATTCGAAGCCACTCGTGGGAGGCTAGGCGGATAATACTTTGTTGATAAGTGTTGATAAAAGTCAAATTTACAAGTTTCGTTAAATGAACTGACATTATTGTAGAATTACCATAACTATATTTGTAAGAGTTATTCATTCCACATAATACCTCAATGCAGTTAAAATATATGATGTATATACATTAGTTATGTATATATTATATTCTTCCTTTCAGACTCTTCTTACAACATTACTTAATCATGCATAATAGTTTCCCCGTGATTCAAAAGTCAAATTGATCGAAGCTCCATATCCTAAGAGAAAAAAAAAGAAATAACCGAAAATAAGTCTATAAAATTAATTAATATTATATTGGAAGGAAAAAAAAAAATAAGGTAAACAACGACGAGCTTAAAATATTTAACTTGTTGCTGGTTGACAACAAGATCTTCACGTGACGTCACAGCGGGTCGCACAAAGGAGAATAATAGAAAGTAATTCCATTATATATGTTTACAATGATATGAAAATAGACCAACACATGTAAGAGGATAATAATGGATTATATATAATCGTAGTAGACTTGTGATTAGAATTCGAAACGATCATTAGTATTTGATCATATTAAAAGGTGATTTTTGATAATGATTTCTGTTAATGTTTTTGTTTACATGGCTTAGTAACTTTGTTGTTTCTAATTTCGGTTTCATAGGCATACATTTTGACTTTCAATTACAGAACGAGAATGGGTCAATATGTAGTGTAAGGTAGTGGCAGAGTTGGGTAATAAAACCTACGTGAAATGATAGAACAATACAAACCAAGACAAAGTTCTTCTATGGCAATATGTGTGCTATACGTAAAAGAAAAGGGAAGAAGATGGGTTACTTTCAAAACAATTTTGATATTATTCTGCATGAAGTCCACTGCTTTCAACAATTCTAGGCATTGTTCCTTGTGCAAATGGGCGACCTAACCCAACATCCGACCTAACCTAACACCGTGGTATATATTCCCTAGCCAGGGGGCTCTGCCCCCTGGACCCCCGGGGGAATATATATACCTAGCACCCTTAGGAAACATTTGCACACATATTGCCATAGAAGAACTTTGTCTTGGTTTGTTTTGTTCTATCATTTCATGTAGGTTTTATTACCCAACTCTGCCACTACCTTATACTACATATTGTCAGAATTAACTAATGCACATTATTTGCCATTGTAAATTTCACTTGCTATAGTGAAAAGTAATTTTGTTGGCTTTTTTAGTACCATTGATAAATTAGGTTTATGAGTACTGATTAGAAGCACATTTAGAACCGTGATCAGCACTACATGGATACATATATGCCCACTCTGAAACAGAATTTACTCTCAGTATTAGGTACCATAAGTACAGGTCTTTTGCTTCACAAAACTATGTATAGATATACTCGGAAAGTGACCAGTTAGTTTTTGCTAAGGAGTTTTTGACCTGCTTTTCCACTGTGGATATACACTACATGGAGTCAAGTCTTTGGCAGAAAATTGCCAAGCCAATTTTTGCATCAGGCTCAATAAAAAGTTGTCCTAGGTTGGCATGAAAATATTAATCTTGTACACATACACCAACTGGGAGGGCAAGTCCACACTGGAGATCTTTATTGAATGCTTGGATCCCACCTTGGTATAAACTGTTTTGTAGCATATACAGTGTACAGTACATCTCTAGTTCACAAATGTTTCCTGTTCTGTAATCAGATTAATGATGACCTCAGGTCTGATTTACCACAATCACTCACTTTAACTATCTTCATTGACAGTTCCATTGGAAATTGTCGATAGTTGTAATTATCTGGCTTTTCATTTGTCTTTCTTTATCTGCGTGTAATCCAGGTCTGGCATGTTCTCTCTCTCTCTCTCTCTCTCTCTCTCTCTCTCTCTCTCTCTCTCTCTCTCTCTCTCTCTCTCTCTCTCTCTCTCTCTCTCTCTCTCTCTCTCTCTCTCCCTCTCCCCCTCTCTCCCTCTCTCCCTCTC